CCCCCCACCCCAGCCCCCCCCAACCACCACCACCCCAGACCCACCGACCCACCACCAACCCAGACCCACCGACACACCACCAACCCAGACCCACCACCAACCCAGACCCACTGACATACCACCAACCCAGACCCACCGACACACCACCAGTGACCCACCACCTCTAAAATACCACCACTGACCTGCCGACCCACCACCAACCCAGACCCACCGACACACCACCACCGACAAACCCACCACCAACCCAGACCCACCACCTCTAAAATACCACCACTGACCTGCCGACCCACCACCAACCCAGACCCACTGACACACCACCAATGTCCCACCACCCCTAACTTGTCACCACTGACCTGCCGACACACCACCAGTGACCCACCACCTCTAAAATACCACCACTGACCTGCCGACCCACCACCAACCCAGACCCACCGACCCACCACCAACCCAGACCCACCGACACACCACCAGTGACCCACCACCAACCTAGACCCACTGACACACCACCCCTTACCTGCCGACCCACCACCAACCCAGACCCACCACCTCTAAAATACCACCACTGACCTGCCGACCCACCACCAACCCAGACCCACCGACCCACCACCAACGTCCCACCACCTCTAAAATTACCACCACTGACCTGCCGACCCACCACCAACCCAGACCCACTGACACCCCCCCAATGTCCGACCACCCCTAACTTGTCACCACTGACCTGCACACTTGAAGTTCTGCATGTCCAGCCCTCTCTCGGTGGGAATATGGAGGAGATACTGGAAGAGGAGATGTTCCTTGATGTGAGATTTTATTTGAAAATTTCCAACACTTGGAAGGAAAGAAGGGTCGTCCTCCGATCCCAGGTACGCGGCACGGACCAGCTCCCGCCAGGCCTTGGCTTCCTGTGCACTCTCAGCTTGTAGCTGGAGGGAACCTTTGGTGGTCACCAGGCGGAAGCAGGAGGGGCTGCCGAGGCTGGAGTCCGGCAGAATGTCTTTCACCGTTTCAATGCCGTAAACACCATAAAGGGATTTCTCGGCGCGCCGGGGAATAAAACATTTCAAAGCTCGATCCGACAACGAGAAGACAAATCGAGTCCACTTCTTGTGTATCCTCATGTAGAGGACGGACTCCTTCAATGCATCTGGCTCCACCTCCAGCGGACATCCCCAATCAAATGCCAAGGGTGCCGAGGAACTCTCATTGGTCATTGGAGAGATGATCTTTAGGTCCGGGGGGCTGTGGGGAGAGTTGGTCTTTAGGTCCGGGGGGCTGTGGGGAGAGTTGGCAACATGTAGAATCTCCCAGGCGTCATCTTTACTGGGTCTGAACTTCTGGATGGCTTCAGTTATCCGGTCCACCCAGTCCTGGGCCTCGTCTCTAGAAGCCGCCCTCAGGTACAAACGTTTGTGGTGAAACTGAAGATCAAAGCGCCCGTCGGTATGCGCCGGACCCGCCGACTCACAGCGCAGCAAAGAGCAAGTCTCAGCGCAGCTTTGCTGGTCGCCCTCCGGCTGCAGGCGGAACTCGTACGGCGTCAGCTCACAGTAATACGGCTTGTACAATCCTAAAGTGGTCTTCCGCTCCAAAGATCCCATCATCAAGAGACCCCGGAAAGGGTTGGAAAGTCCTGGGGAGGGGGAAATGGGTCAGACAGAACAAAGACACAACGAGAGACCCGGAGAGGGATGGAAAGTTCTGGGGAGGGGGAAATGGGTCAGACAGAACAATGACACAACGAGAGACCCCAAGGAGGGATGGAGAGTTCTGGGGAGGGAGAAATGGATCAGACAGAACAATGAAGACACGAGAGACCCGGAGAGGGATGGAGAGTTCTGGGGAGGGAGAAATGGGTCAGACAGAACAATGAAGACACAACGAGAGACCCCGGAGAGGGATGGAAAGTTCTGGGGAGGGAGAAATGGGTCAGACAGAACAAAGACACAACGAGAGACCCGGAGAGGGATGGAGAGTTCTGGGGAGGGGGAAATGGGTCAGACAGAACAATGAAGACACAACGAGAGACCCGGAGAGGGATGGAAAGTTCTGGGGAGGGAGAAATGGGTCAGACAGAACAATGAAGACACAACGAGAGACCCGGAGAGGGATGGAAAGTTCTGGGGAGGGAGAAATGGGTCAGACAGAACAATGAAGACACAACGAGAGACCCGGAGAGGGATGGAAAGTTCTGGGGAGGGAGAAATGGGTCAGACAGAACAATGAAGACACAACGAGAGACCCGGAGAGGGATGGAGAGTTCTGGGGAGGGAGAAATGGGTCAGACAGAACAATGAAGACACAACGAGAGACCCGGAGAGGGATGGAAAGTTCTGGGGAGGGAGAAATGGGTCAGACAGAACAATGAAGACACAACGAGAGACCCGGAGAGGGATGGAAAGTTCTGGGGAGGGAGAAATGGGTCAGACAGAACAAAGACACAACGAGAGACCCGGAGAGGGATGGAAAGTTCTGGGGAGGGAGAAATGGGTCAGACAGAACAAAGACACAACGAGAGACCCCGGAGAGGGATGGAAAGTTCTGGAGAGGGGGAAATGGGTCAGACAGAACAAAGACACAACGAGAGACCCCGGAGAGGGATGGAGAGTTCTGGGGAGGGGGAAATGGGTCAGACAGAACAAAGACACAACGAGAGACCCCGGAGAGGGATGGAGAGTTCTGGGGAGGGGGAAATGGGTCAGACAGAACAAAGACACAACGAGAGACCCCGGAGAGGGATGGAGAGTTCTGGGGAGGGGGAAATGGGTCAGACAGAACAAAGACACAACGAGAGACCCCGGAGAGGGATGGAGAGTTCTGGGGAGGGGGAAATGGGTCAGACAGAACAAAGACACAACGAGAGACCCCGGAGAGGGATGGAGAGTTCTGGGGAGGGGGAAATGGGTCAGACAGAACAAAGACACAACGAGAGACCCCGGAGAGGGATGGAGAGTTCTGGGGAGGGGGAAATGGGTCAGACAGAACAAAGACACAACGAGAGACCCCGGAGAGGGATGGAGAGTTCTGGGGAGGGGGAAATGGGTCAGACAGAACAAAGACACAACGAGAGACCCCGGAGAGGGATGGAGAGTTCTGGGGAGGGGGAAATGGGTCAGACAGAACAAAGACACAACGAGAGACCCCGGAGAGGGATGGAGAGTTCTGGGGAGGGGGAAATGGGTCAGACAGAACAAAGACACAACGAGAGACCCCGGAGAGGGATGGAGAGTTCTGGGGAGGGAGAAATGGGTCAGACAGAACAATGAAGACACAACGAGAGACCCCGGAGAGGGATGGAGAGTTCTGGGGAGGGAGAAATGGGTCAGACAGAACAAAGACACAACGAGAGACCCGGAGAGGGATGGAAAGTTCTGGGGAGGGGGAAATGGGTCAGACAGAACAATGACACAACGAGAGACCCGGAGAGGGATGGAAAGTTCTGGGGAGGGAGAAATGGATCAGACAGAACAAAGACACAACGAGGGACCCCGGAGAGGGATGGAGAGTTCTGGGGAGGGAGAAATGGGTCAGACAGAACAATGAAGACACAACGAGAGACCCCGGAGAGGGATGGAGAGTTCTGGGGAGGGAGAAATGGGTCAGACAGAACAAAGACACAACGAGAGACCCGGAGAGGGATGGAAAGTTCTGGGGAGGGGGAAATGGGTCAGACAGAACAAAGACACAACGAGAGACCTGGAGAGGGATGGACACAATTACCTATCTGCCTCCGGTGGACAACGTGGAAGGTTTTGCCAGGCTGGTTCTGCCCATCAGACAGAGGGGGGGCGGGATCTGAGGGGTGGGAAGGCAGGACACGCCCAGGGGGGCGGGGCTCCTCCGCAGGAATATTGGGCTCTACTTGTGTGAAATCTTCTTCTGAAATCCAACTTCTGCTTTTCTGGAGAGGAAGACGAGAGCCAATATAAGGAGGAAGCCATTATAAAGAAAGGCAAGGATGGGAGGAGCCACATGGAGGGTGTATGATGTGGTTCCTCTGTCTCCCCCCAGACAGATGTAGTACATGGACCTCATCATACCCCACATAGAGAGCACAGGAACAGAAAATGATCAGCGGGGTCACGCTTCCTTCTCTGGGAACATCCCGCCCACAGCTATAGACTATGTGGGTGTTACCCCGGAATGAAGCACGTGTGGGGGCGAGGGTCATTATTACACACGTCACTCCCCAAATAAGTGCACAGAACCTCTCTATGGAGACATCAGAGGTCTACCAGACCCCCAATGTCCCCCATGACCCTCAATGTCCCCCATGACCCTCATGACCCTCAATGTCCCTCATGACCCTCAATGTCCCTCATGACCCTCAATGTCCCTCATGACCCTCAATGTCCCTCATGACCCTCAATGTCCCTCATGACCCTCAATGTCCCTCATGACCCTCAATGTCCCTCATGACCCTCAATGTCCCTCATGACCCTCAATGTCCCTCATGACCCTCAATGTCCCTCATGACCCTCAATGTCCCTCATGACCCTCAATGTCCCTCATGACCCTCAATGTCCCTCATGACCCTCAATGTCCCTCATGACCCTCAATGTCCCTCATGACCCTCAATGTCCCTCATGACCCTCAATGTCCCTCATGACCCTCAATGTCCCTCATGACCCTCAATGTCCCTCATGACCCTCAATGTCCCTCATGACCCTCAATGTCCCTCATGACCCTCAATGTCCCTCATGACCCTCAATGTCCCTCATGACCCTCAATGTCCCTCATGACCCTCAATGTCCCTCATGACCCTCAATGTCCCTCATGACCCTCAATGTCCCTCATGACCCTCAATGTCCCTCATGACCCTCAATGTCCCTCATGACCCTCAATGTCCCTCATGACCCTCAATGTCCCTCATGACCCTCAATGTCCCTCATGACCCTCAATGTCCCTCATGACCCTCAATGTCCCTCATGACCCTCAATGTCCCTCATGACCCTCAATGTCCCTCATGACCCTCAATGTCCCTCATGACCCTCAATGTCCCTCATGACCCTCAATGTCCCTCATGACCCTCAATGTCCCTCATGACCCTCAATGTCCCTCATGACCCTCAATGTCCCTCATGACCCTCAATGTCCCTCATGACCCTCAATGTCCCTCATGACCCTCAATGTCCCTCATGACCCTCAATGTCCCTCATGACCCTCAATGTCCCTCATGACCCTCAATGTCCCTCATGACCCTCAATGTCCCTCATGACCCTCAATGTCCCTCATGACCCTCAATGTCCCTCATGACCCTCAATGTCCCTCATGACCCTCAATGTCCCTCATGACCCTCAATGTCCCTCATGACCCTCAATGTCCCTCATGACCCTCAATGTCCCTCATGACCCTCAATGTCCCTCATGACCCTCAATGTCCCTCATGACCCTCAATGTCCCTCATGACCCTCAATGTCCCTCATGACCCTCAATGTCCCTCATGACCCTCAATGTCCCTCATGACCCTCAATGTCCCTCATGACCCTCAATGTCCCTCATGACCCTCAATGTCCCTCATGACCCTCAATGTCCCTCATGACCCTCAATGTCCCTCATGACCCTCAATGTCCCTCATGACCCTCAATGTCCCTCATGACCCTCAATGTCCCTCATGACCCTCAATGTCCCTCATGACCCTCAATGTCCCTCATGACCCTCAATGTCCCTCATGACCCTCAATGTCCCTCATGACCCTCAATGTCCCTCATGACCCTCAATGTCCCTCATGACCCTCAATGTCCCTCATGACCCTCAATGTCCCTCATGACCCTCAATGTCCCTCATGACCCTCAATGTCCCTCATGACCCTCAATGTCCCTCATGACCCTCAATGTCCCTCATGACCCTCAATGTCCCTCATGACCCTCAATGTCCCTCATGACCCTCAATGTCCCTCATGACCCTCAATGTCCCTCATGACCCTCAATGTCCCTCATGACCCTCAATGTCCCTCATGACCCTCAATGTCCATGTCCCTCATGACCCCCAATGTCCCCCATGACCCTCAATGTCCCTATGACCCTCAATGTCCCTCATGACCCTCAATGTCCATGTCCCTATGACCCCCATGACCCTCAATGTCCCTATGACCCTCAATGTCCCTCATGACCCTCAATGTCCATGTCCCTATGACCCCCATGACCCTCAATGTCCATGTCCCT